TTTGGTTTTTCTCCGGTACCGGGAACCGAACTCACGACCTTGCGCTTGCCAGGCAGGCGCTTTGCCGCTGAGCTAAATCCCCAGCCCCTAGGTAGCTATATTTAAAAGAACACTCACAATTTATCAGGCAAGCTGCCTGATCTTTATCAGCCAAACTTTCTCCCTGTCCAGTGACACTTGGATTTTTAAAAAAACTGTCTCTTCTTGCTAAAGTTTTTTGACTTCAGGTCTCTTATAAAATTTTAAGTAATGAATAAATGCACTTACATAGCACCATAATTTCTAGGCACAGTCTTTGCCTCTATTTCCAGTCATTTACCATTAGTTTCTCTACCTAGAAGATATTGTTTAGATGTTTTATACTGTAGCTTAATAACACTGTTTGGATCCTAAGTAAATGTTAAGCAAATAGCCATTCACTAGCACTTAAAATCTCATTTAAACTGGGTTTTCCATTAAATACTAAGTCAATTAGTTCATCTAACACTTTCAAAAATAATGTTTTCTTAAAAGTAAGATAAATATTTTCAGATGTGACTTGTCATCTTTTACAAGTTTTTACCTATGGAAAAGGATGCATCATCTCTTACATTTGTGGGGGTGAAACTTTTTCAAATATATAAGAACAAAAATGCACCAGGGATATAGCTCAGTGGCACAAGCGCCTGCCTGGTAAGCGCAAGGTCCTGAGTTTGATTCCTGATACAAAAAAAAAAAAAAAAGAACAAAAATAGAACTCAGATTTTAGCATTAAGTGTTAACCCTTAGAACCTTAAGCATGCTACGCTACACAGAACTAAGTACTGAGGAAACTCTATTTTCATGTGGTGAATGAGTAACCAATTTGGCATCCTGCGTATCAGTCTCCTGAAAGATTGCACTTTGGACAAAGTAGGATATAAAGTCACTTAAACAGGTTAATGGCATTATATTTAATCATTAGAGATAAAAAAATCATATGAGCAGTCACATTTAAGCTTATAAAATCTTACCTTAGTTTTCTCATCCACAACTCGGAGTCCATCTGCTGACACCCACAGGACCGCCTTCACTGCTTTCTTTCCAGTCTTTTAAGAGAAACCAGAAAAGGAGGGGTGGGGGAGACACACATATACAATATTAAACAAAGGTAATCGCCCACAGAAAACCTGACTTCTGCCTTGCAAAATCACAAGTACAGATGAAGTCCAAGTTCAGGAGGGGGGCCCAAAGCCAGGTACTCAAACCAACTGCAGACACATTCAGGGAAAACCAGCCAAAGCCATTATTTTAGGAACACAGTGCCAAACAACAGGAAGTAAGGGGGAAGGAACAGATGGAATCAAAACCAAGTATTACATTCCATAAAGGGCGAAGAATTCGTAAGCAGATTCTTCACCCATTGAAAAAAATCCACCAAGACAACCAAGAGTCAGGTAAGTATTAAATACATAAGGAGTTACACCACAAGTAGCTTCTACACTGTCTTTAGCATATGAAGTAACAGCTGAGTCTGAACTGAGATGCTGACCATTCTATCCTGACACCAGTGTGTGTAGCAGGACCCTTGGTTACCCAAAAGTTTCAAGTTAAAAAAGCCAAGAATTCTTCATTGTTCTATTAACAATGCTTAAAAGCCACTCTTTTACCTCTCAAGATTACTATAAAATGCGTTTTGTTTTTAATTTGACATTAAGTGCATGGAGATGCTTCGGGGATATAGGAAGGTTTTTAAGAGTAGAGAAAACTGTCTAACATGAATTTTCTCTTTAACTGGCTGAGAAAAAGACTCTTCGGCGTAGAAGAATCACATGAGAACAAGCTGGTTTTTTTTTCTGTGATGGAATAGAACAGTAAAACTTAACAACATCCTTTCTTCTTAACTGCTCCAAGGATATAAACACAATAAAACCAACAGAACAAAGGCTGAGAATGAGTATCAGATTACCATAAAAGTGTAAATCAAAGGAACCTGATGCTGAGTTTGGAGACGCCTCCAGAATGGATAGGTGAAACTAACTGACTGTCTACCATGGTCTACAAGTGTCCAGGCCTAGAGATGCTTACTGTGGGAGGCATGGTCTTATTTAAATGAACAACCCACACGGGCGCATCATCTCTGCCATCACCACCAGCACCACATGGCGGACAAGTGCTCATAACTTGTTTGCCAGTGGAAATACTCGAAGAGCTCATAGTCCACCAAAAGGTAACACTGAGATAAATAGAAAATAAATTATACAAGAACTGGTGCTAGAGTAGAGCTGAAAACAATTACAGTAACACCAGAAAGGAGGGACAATCAAACCTATCTGTGGAACTGGGGATGGCTATACCAAGATGACTGAACTAGATCCTGAAATAATTCTTGATGCCTAGGACGTGGGGCAGGGGAGTAGGGAGCCAGGGAGTAACACAGGTAGTGAATACGCAAGGACGAAACAGCATGTGTTGCAGAGACAATGCGGAACTCTGGGGCTCTGTGCGTGTTTCAGTATGGCTTGAAAGCAGGCTGGGCGACTGGTGTGCGGGAAGAGGAGAGTAGTGGGAAACACGTAGTCACGGGGGCCTTGTTTGCCTCTTAACTCTAAGGGCAGTTAGAAGCTACTGAGGGAATTTCAACACAGTGAAACAGATCCGCTTTTCTTTGGTTATTGGGATCTAGCCCAGGGCTTCTTGTACGCTACACAAACATACGTCACTACAGTCACTGCGTCACATCCCTGTTCCCAGGTTCTCCTTTTCTCTTTTCTTTCCTAGTGGTACTGGGGATTAAATGTAGGATCTCTGTACTCAGCTATCCCCCTGCTTTTTTCTGAGCCAGCGTCTCCCTACATTATGAAGTTGCTCAGGCTGGGCTAGAGCTTGTGATCCTCTTGCCTCAGTCTCCAGACTGCTGAGGGTACAGCCATGCGCCACCACACCCCGCTCAAACATCACCTTGACAGCGGTGTATAGGAGCTAGAAAGGGATTCACTAGGGCAACGAGGATAGAATTCCAGGGGTGAGAAAATGAGGGTTGAGTTCTCTTGGCTGAGAAAGGCAAGGAAATGAGATGATTTTTTGAAAATATGAAGGAAAAACAGGATTTCCCTGGGTTTCCTGGATTGGGTAACTGGCTGGAAAAGGCACCCACTCAAAGAAGAGGAGAGATGCAGCAGCAGGTCTGAGAGGGGAAGAACAGGGTTTCCAGCAAAGCCTGAGGTGTCTGGGCAACACGCAGGCGGAGACTACGAAGAGACAACTGGATACGCAGGCCTGACACTCAAAAGCGAATTCTAAGGCAGAATTTTTCATCTGCGAGACATCACTGATCGAAGAGGGTTTTAAAAAGTAATGAATGGTTCGAAGTACCAAATGTGATCTGACGATCAAGAAAGCCACGATGTGAAAAGTGCCCACTGGATTTGGCAAAGAAGACATGTTAGGGCAACGGAAGTTGCTACGGTGAACTGCAGGTCAGTACGGCTGGGCTGTTGCCCCGGCGCTGGCCAAACACTGGTCTAAGGGTTGCTGCGGAGGTATTTCATCAACATAGTTAATATTTATAATCAAGTGACTTGAGTGAAAGAGATTAGCTCTCATGGGTAGGACTTGTCTAACTAGCTGAAGAAGAAATTCTCAAGCCTGCAACACAGAAATCTGGTCTGAGTTTCCACAGCCTAAGGACATGTCTTACAGATTTCAGACTCACTAACCCCACAGTCAACTGAGCCAGTTCTTAAAATAACCTCACACACACACACACACACACACACACACACACACACACCCTACCAGTTGTCTCGCTGGAGGATGCGGATGACACAAAAGTGGAAGTGAGATTTAGATTTGAATGAGTTGAGAAGTAAATGGAGGCTTATGAATATTCTTTTAAAAGTTTTTCTATAAAAAGCAGGAGAGCTATAGGGCAGTAGGGGAAGGCAGAGGATCACGGAAGTCTGTAAAGGTTGTGATGAACTAGCACATTACATTAGAAAAAGAATAGGCTTTGAAGTAAGACAAGCCTCAATTCAGCGCCACTATCCCAAATCTAAGCAAATAATATAGACCTCTGAGCTTCCGCTTCTTCATCTGTGAACTATCTGTAGACTTAAGGTTAGAGACTGTATATAGCACCTGGAATTTAAATAGAGTAATACATTGATAGCTATTCATCATAATATTGCTGGTGATAAACTTTTAAGAACCTCCCCCCAATTGTAAAGAACGACTTTCGACGATAATGATGACCACAGGTCATATTCACATGCTGAACAGTAAAAGCCAAAGGAAAGACACAGACTGAAGGCCCAGGGAAAGGAAGAGAATACTTCACAGAATAAAGTCTCTAGCGAGGCAGGATGGGGTGAAGCTAGAGTACAACTTTTTGACAGGGGTGTTCTTTCCTCTGGACGGGAGGGAGGAAGAAAGTGAGAAGCAGGTGCAGCGGCACTCACTTGCAACCCCAGGAGGGGGAGGCAGGAGGATTACCTGAACCCAGGAATTCTGTGAGACCAGCCTGAGAGAAAGAGGGAGAGTGGGAGGGAGGAAGGGGTTTGATTTTGGCTCTGGAACTTGTCTGACGAAGGGCAAGTTACTTCCCTTCTCTATGCTTTAGTTTCTGTATCTGTATAATGATGTTAATAACCTCATGTACCTCATGGGGTTAATGTATGTAAAAGGTTTAGAACTAGGCTGGTCATATACTTTATCCTCCCTTTTGCAGGAGGGTACCAGGAATCTAATGTTTGGCGGGCAGGTGCTGCACCACTGAGCTAAATCCCTGGCCCTCTCCTCTCTTTTAGAAGGATCCCTTTTAAAATAAAAGAGGGGTTACATATACCCTACAACAGTAAAACAGTAAAAAGTAAAACCTACAAACAGGTATCTCACTGGGGCTGTTCCAGGCAAAATGGGCCACGTCACCCCCACTGACCTCATATGTAACCAATATCTGAGCAACACTTCGTACTTTGCTGGAGACAGGCTCCGTGAGGGCAGGGTTTTCCATCTACTGTACCGTTCACTGCTCTATCTCTGAGCTTGAACAATGCGTGTAACAAGAGTTTAAGAAATATTTATTGAAAAAAAGAAATTTGTTAACTATTTGTTGCAGGGTATAAAAGACAATGACACAGAAGATTGCCAGATGACACTGACAATCCTGTGTAAGATATTTAAATTTGCAGTTCTATCCATCTGCACATTGTGTAATTACAGTCTGGAATATTTAGCACCTAAGGCAACAGAAGGACTGTTTCAAGGTTGCAAGACTGGCCGGGTGTGGTGGTACACGCCTGTAATCCCCGCACAGGAGGCTGAGGCAGGAGGATCATTGTGGGTTTGAGACCAGCCTGGGCTACAAAGTGAGCTCAAAGCCAGCCTGAACTGCACACTGAGACCCTGTCTCAAAACAAAACAAAACAAAACAAAACAAAACAAAACAAAACAAAACAAAAAAACAAGAAAGCCTGGAAGACTGAAGGGGGAAAAAGTAGGTCATTTTAGAATGAAAGTGTTCTCTGTTAGTTTCCTTACAGTATTCAGAGAAATGTAGTATTTTCTTGGCCCAATTATATTGTTATAAAAACAACTGGGCCTTTTGAGATATGATTTATGAAAACTTTCAGGGTATTATACTAATGTATCAGAATGAGGAATTGCATGTCATATTCCATGTCCTCTAATGTCTCTAAACGGGCAGAAAACAGATACTCTTTTAGTATTTATTCATACATTTCGGTGCCAGTTCTGGCATAGGTACTTCTTCAGGCAGGTATTGAGATATTAAGACTCAAAGATATCTGTAGCTGAAGTTAAGTCTAGATTTTCTCTCACAAACTCTATAATAGCAACAGTTCTACAGTACTGAGAACGTTAGAGTCTTTCATTCTGATAATATATATTTAAGAAAAAAGACAAGAGATGAGTGTTGCTTTTGCATCCCCTTAAACCAGGAATCCCAGGAAGTCAGATCGAAGTTAGCTAACAGAGCTAAAAAAGAAAAGATGAAAGTATGAAATGTAAACTGACATACACTGTAGTGGCACAAATACCCTTTAAAAAAAGACTGCATACCCTAGCACTAATAAAAACGTGGCTGTGT